AATGGGGTCAATAACACGTAGTAGAGGTCATTCAGCACCCCCTTTGTGTATATTTTTATCATACAATCAGCTTACAGGGAGATCTAGTAAGTGTTCAAAACATTCCAGAGGTGACGACATTATAGGTTAATGCAGCTTCTCGGTCTTCCTGCAGAGTCCCCTGGCCCGGCCCCCGCCTGGAGCCGGCGCTTCTCAGCGGAGGCAGATGAACATCTGTACCAGAATATTCTCGGCTGCCTGTGGAAGATGCAGCTTCCTGGCCCTGTGCTAGACTCTAAATCAGAGTTGAAGGTTTCAGAAAATTTCATCTCTAACATACCTGGGAGCCGAGGCTAAAGGAAAGCCTGCTGTTCCCGGCTTCTAGAGAATTTTCCCCTTTGACCACCTAAGCTGAGTTCCCAGGTGAGCAGGGGCCCTGTCCGCCCTCCAACCTCGGGGAGCAGCTCTGGGCTCTTACTGGGGTCCCCAGGGAGGTCTCTCCCACCCCCACCGACCACCACCACCTGCTGTGCCAACTTCTCAGGCTTGGAATCTCCCTGGAGCAAGGTTAGAAAATGTGGGGGAGAAAAACCCTTCACACACAGAAACACTAAACAAACCGGGGCCTTTATTTACATAATAGGGAAAGAAAGGATACAAAAGAAGTCTCTCTGTCAAGTGCAGAATGGGAAAGCCCTACAACTCGATTCTCAGTAGGGTGTGGGGCCCTGATATTTAAAAAAAAAAGTTAAAGATGAAGAAGAGGTAAAAAGGTAAACTGAGACAGGATCCAAGTTCTTAAGCTCAAGGAACAAAGAAAGAGAAAAACACAGCAGCCTCACAGGAGAAATGATGACTCGGGCGAGTGACAGTTTGAAGTTCATCTTCTGTACCCATGAACCTGACTCCCGGGATAATCCCTGCAAGGTTTTGACTTTGGACATTTCTGGGTTGATGCTTAACCACATATTAAGAATTTCAGGGCCAAATATGCCGGACGGTACAGTTTTTCCAATTTGGGGGATGGGGTGGGGGAAGCTCTTTTTTAGACAGACTCCCAGGCAAGAAAAAGGCCTCAGCAGCTCTGGTTCCTTCCCTGGGTCCCCTTCCATGTCCCCACAGGGAGTCTGTGAGCTCCTTGGGGCTCGACAGCACCCCCAGGTCACAGGGGAGGGTGTCCTCCAAACCTCCTGTTGTCATTTCCTGAGACTGGCAGCCCCCATGGTGCCTGACTCTCTTCCCCACTAACTGTGCATGGCTGCTTCTCCCACTTGTGTCTCTCTCTGCTTTTCCCCGACCCCCAGCGTGCGGGGCAAGCTGTAGATACCTCACATGTGTGGACACATGCCATGATCAACTTTCATGCCTTGTGCTAAAACAAAATCACCTGTTTTCTCTTTTCCTCAAATATTAATGATGCAAGAATTGGGTTCCAGTTTCTCTTCAACATGAAGTTGAAGCTTCAGAAAGCAAAGCTAAGTCTAGCTTCCCAGCTACAACCTTCTCCTCCTCCCATTCCTTTTTCTGTCCCTCTGTCCATCTGTCCGGCTACCTTCTCCCCCTTCCAGCACCGTCTAGTTGGGCTTGATGAAAGCAGCATGAGTTTTGTGGCCTCCCTCCCACCTACCCGATGACAGGCAGGTGTGGCCGCCAACCCTGCCGACTGCTCAGCAAAAACCACTCTGGACTTCTGGACATGCTGAACATAAAGTCAGAACAGTGGCCTACGGTGGGGCTGGCAGAGGGGCACGGGGTGAGGGACCTGCTCTTTCCTTCATCTGTCCAGTGGCTGTCCATGGGTCATCCCTGGGGGGTGGCAGGCCTGGGACCCATGCCCGTGCTAACCTTTGAGGCCAGGTGCGATGAGATCAGACCAGCCAGCATAGACGAGGAAAGGAAGCTACAAAGGCAGCCAGTGTGAGCCCGTGGCCTCAGAGGGGGTTTAAGCACCAGCCTTGGCCCTTCTGGCCACCCAGGTCCCCTGGCCCCACCTAGAGGCACAGGCCCAGCCCACCAGAGCTCCCCAACAGTGACGCTCCAGACCTGCCTCCTGTACTGCCACCTCTTGCCCCCAACGTCCTCTGGCCTTGTTTCCACTTTCTCCACACCTGTCTCCTACTTACTGGTTCCTTCTCTACATCACACTTTCATTCCCAGATGTTCTCTCTCTCTCTGTCTCTCTCAGCCCCTGCTAGCACGCAGCTGTCAGGAGTGGGCAGATGCTGCTAGGTGTCCCCACCAAAGCCCCCGTGCCCTTGCAGGACAGTCTGGCTGGCCCCAAAGTCACGGCTGGGCCAAACTGGGCCACACCAGGCACCAGAGCCCTCAGGAGTGTCAGCCCCCCAGCCCGCATCTGAACCTGCCCTTCCTCCTCCTTGCCAGCTGCACGGCCATGCAAGGATGGGGAAAGTGACAAGCTTTCATCTACTCTCAACAGTCACGACACACTTTCAACACAGTTTTCAAAGCATCCTAGCCTTCAAAGAGGTTTTGTCTTCCTTCCTTCTTCTCAAGCCTGTAATTAAACTCCTGGTGACAGAGTGGCGGAGGAAGGAGATGGGGGAGGACAACTTGGGACATAAACAGCTCCTTAGCTGCCATCGGAACAGAGGCAGCCAGGGGCTGTGAGTGCCCGCCAGCTTGTGACCTTCTGGAAGGATACAGCAAATCACCCGAGGTCAACATCCTCTTTTCCCCGTCGCGGTCACCACTCTGCTCCCCACTCTGCTCCCCACGCTCGAATCTGTCATGTGTTGGCCTCCACCCGGCACCTGCCACCTCCACCCGAAGGCTCAGGCTTTGGCGAACCGACTCAAAGCCCAAACCCCACCTTGGCCTAATTCTCTGCGGGGTTGACCATGGGATCCACACGTGTTGTGAAAAGCTCAGCAGATGGGGCGGGGGTGACTCATTCATGACACGCGTCTGGTTCGGCAAAGAAAGCCATTTTTTCTCCTGCAAGCCTGCTGTGAGTTCCAGTCTGAGACGCTGCTGGGTTCGCACCGTCCGGGGGCCGGGGCGCCACCACTCCCGGCGCGGCCGAGCGGCTCCCGTCAGCTCAGCGCACGAAGGACACCACGCTGGTGGCCACCGCGAACGGGGCGGCGTAGGCCGCGGCGAAGCCTTGCAGGCCGATGACCACGTAGCGGCATCCTTTGGTGATGACCTTCCCGACGTTCTAGTTTTAGGAAGAGAAGAGAAAAGCAAAGGATTCGGGTTAGGCATCGTTCGAATTCTGCTGAGAGCCCTGGTGACTTACTTAGAGAATCACTTGTCCTCGTTCTTCCAGGGCGAGGCAGCAAGGGGAAGATTCCCGCCCCCATCTGAGGACACGTGGGGACTCAGAGCAGACATCATCACCCTGCAAGGTGCTCTCAAGCACAGCATATGTCCAGCTAATTCGGAGAGTTTCTCAGAAACAGGAGGGAGGCTGCCAATTCTAAAACCAACCCAGTTTATTTTTTAAACCAAAGTCCACTCCTCTTCCAGCTAAAAGTTACTAGACCGTCTGAAGGCTGGGTCAAGTTTTCCTTCCCTCACCTGATTGGAAAGCCCATCCTGTCCTCCTCCTATCTACAGGGCATGTTCCTGTGTGACCTGCACATTCGTCCCTCTGTTGTCTTCTGCCATTCCCTGATTGCTGCATAAACACACACACACACACACACACACACACACACACACACACACACGCATGCGCGCACACACACACAAGTCTTGTGTTTCCAGTACAATTATAAGCTCCTGAGGGCAAGGACTGGGCTTTCTTGGTCCTCCCTCCTCTTCCTTCTCTGCAAGGCTGGACAGGGGACACCCAAAGGAGTCAAATGGGATTGCAGCAGAACAATGAAGACCGCCCACCAACTAGCATTCATCCCACAGTTGCCCCTGGTCTTCTCCCCTCCCCCAGCTTCATGTCATCACTCTCAGTGACATCAGTGTCCATGTAGATGACCTGTGCCTTATCTCACA